TTAGTATTGAGGTCCATGCTAGCCCTGTGCAAGATGTGTGATAAAACTTGGTGTCGTCTGATAAATGACACAAGATTAATATCTTTATCACTGAAGTTCGTACCTTACATCAAGGATAGAGTCTTCGACAAGAATGTACTCTCAACTAGGAATCACATAGGCGAGCATATTGTCGACGATATGCGTGGGTCAGGAAAAAAATTCTATAGTAGTGTCAAAGAAAAGAGAGCTTACTTGGTGGCTTCAGGTAAAGCGTTTCGATGTTTCAGTTCCATCTGTTCGACCTAATCATCTTAATCTTTGAATGCTTCAGTTCCCAAATTGTGAAAGTTTTTCACTTCCTTCTGCTATTTACACCAATTTCGATTTCAATAACTTTCCTAAGGCTTCTGTCATATTCTAACGTCTTTGTATTTGTACATGGAAGATGAGGGAAACCAGGAAATCGGTTAATAAGAAAGAGTTATCTTGTAGGAATCGGGTAGAGTTCAGTGTTTTTAGGCAAAGTTGAGGCGTCGATATCCCTCATGGACCCAGGCATGAACCATCTCTTCATCCTGTGATGCTTGCAGACTTGGCTACTCTATTCACCTCAGGGAGGATCTGTGAGGCAGTCTTCTACTGTAATTTCTTGTTTCGAAGTCTGCATAAGCTTGTCTTGTTGATGCCTGACATATAAAAGTGCTTATGGACATCAGGTTCTTCGTTAAAAGATATCGAGAACAATGTGGTTTTCGGTGATATCAGGGCAGTCCTCAGGTGACCATCGTTTTGTATGGGATCGTTCAACTGAGTTTCAGAATATTTCCTTGCGCTTAATTCGGACAGCACAGTGACTTCTGTTTCCTGTGTCTAAAGATAAGCCTGAGTTTCTAATTCGCAATAGATCAATCAACACGTTCGTAGTCATGTTTCTGCTTCAGTTCCTTAAAATATGCTGCAAATTTCGTCGATGATTTCTTCCTTTTGTCGGATGAGGACGTAGATGCAGGTGCGACATGGCCCATGGTCATGCGTTTGTAGTCTCTGGACTTGCACAAAGAGTGCGCAGCTTCTTAAGTAATAACTAATGAGAGTAAACCAATCACCTCAGAGGTAGTGAATCTGAATGTAGATGATCAAGAGTTTGCACCAGGACAGTTACTACGTTTGTATCCGAATGGTGTTTGTTTAGGATCTACTGTCATCACTGAGACGTCAGCTGGAGGTTAGACCTCGAACCTTTTTGCACAAGCTCCAAAACGAGCAACATACTTCTTATATTTGGGGCCAAAAGAACTCGAGACCAGGATTTTGCGATTCCTTCGGGGCAAGCTACTCAAGTAAGCCGGATCGGACAGTAAACTAAAGAGAAGCACTGGGAAATTGATTTGGAGAACGGAATTCAAAGTATCGAGTAGCGAAACCAGTGAATAATCTTAATGAAGCTCATGTAAGTCCAAGAGCAGAGCGAGAAAGCGAAAATGAATCAACCTGGCTATGGCTTTCTAGATCATGCACGATCCTTTCGCAATGTAGTTCAAATAGGTTCTGTGACTCAAGAAGAATGCGGGTTTCTCCACACACCTTGACAATGGCATTACTGTTTGCTGTACTTTGTACTTCACGCCACTACTGTCATGAACTGCACATGGATCATTCTGCCCCACTTGAAACTGCTTTTTAAGGCTCAGGTTTCCGATTTGGTCTGTCCCCTGAAATGGAATCAGTTAGAAACTGGGTACCATTCCGATGCATTGGCTGTGCGCCTGTAAGCATCAAATTTGCTTATTCCAACCATGAATCGTGTGTCGGCGTTCTTTCGCATTCTCATTTGCTTTGTTTAGCTTCCGGGAAACCTATTTTGGGTTGATCAATGGTGGAACGTACATACAACGTTAATATGACCTCAAAACATAGTCTTTATCTTTTTTTAATCTGTTTAAATTAAAATATCGTACTAACTTCTCACCATTGGGATCTGCTAATCACTACAGTGGTAAGAAAGTTGGATCAGAATCACGAGGTTTCTCTCCGAGAACTTCCTCACCATTACTTGAGAGTTTCTTAACACTAAAATAACACTTTTTTTTCTCTTTTGAAATTGGGGCACATTCAACTAACTTGCGATTCCACCACCTCGTTGCCATTACTGAGTTTCTATATATACTTTTCTGATTGGATGTAACTGCAGAATCCCATTTCTGGAAGTTTTCTTCTAAATAATCACAACTGATCGAAAACTTCAAAGCTTCAGAAACTTTCAACATATCTTTAGAAATAGATGTATTGTCTCAATAACTAAAAAAAAATTAAACCAAAAAAGGAAAATGGGATCTTATAGTTACTTTCGTGACGGTAAATTGAGGTTCCAAAGACTGGTAGAATTTCTTTCTATTATGTACATGGTGCTAATAGAAAATTTACATTAAAAGAAAACATTATTCTCACAACAAATATTAGACGCTTGAAGCTGCGCAGAAACTTGGATGATTGCTGGTGCAAGTGCAGAGCTGTGTTAGGATCAAAATGTTTTGAGGGTGTTTCTAAAGAACGAACGTCGTCGCCTCGTCAGGCGTGAACTCCAAATCCGCCATTAGCACTCAAATCGTGCACGAGCGCTGCGCATTAAATTGTTTTCTTTTCCTTCCTTTTTTAAAATTTTTTAGGATTATTTTTTCTAGTACCCAATGCAACGATATAGCAGGTAAATCTAAATTCAAGACCCTCTGGGTTACTGAGAGGGTCTGTTGCAGGACCCCCTGGCACTTAACCGTCATGGGCAAGGCGGCGTCATCGCAAAGGCGAACAGAGTAGACAAAGTCCAGCTCAAGACAAGACAAGCTTCCTGGAAACGGAGCAAAAAGGAAAAAAAGAGAAAAAAAAGAAGAAGAAAAAAAAAAAAAAAAAAAAAAAAAAAACCCGACAAAAGCTAGTGCATGGCAGAAAAGCATGCGCAGCCATGAGATAAAGCCATTGCATTACAATGGGGATGAGTCACACCAGCTTGCATGAGAAGTAGCCTTGAATTGCATATATCACCAGGATATAAGCGCAAGCTTTAGAAAGGCAGACAGACAGACAGAGAAAGAGAGAAAGGAGAAGAGAATGAGAGGAGAAAGGGGGAGAAAGCGTGGGCAGCGCTGCTGCTGCTAAGTTACTGCAAGGTCCAGCAAGCCAGCCAGCCATCACTCCTCCCACTGGCCTCCTTTTCATTGATGGACTTCCCGTCATGTCATACGCTTGTGGCCGCCTTCGTTCCCCCCGTGGCTAGAATGGAAAGCGACATCAAAGGCTGGGGATGGATCTAACATTCTGGCTGGCTCTGCCATTCTGGAATCTGTCTTTCTGCGCATCAGGGGTCTACACTGAAGCTTAAGGGCACTCCCCCCCCCCACTGGCCGGCGATGACATGACGTGCCACAGAGACAAGTTCGTCAGTGCAAATTAAGAGTTGAATTATCCAAAAGTGCGGTCAAATCAGTCTTGGTAGCGGAAAATCAGCTTTATTTGGCTTCTTACTCAATCACCTTGCTTTCGGAAAGCATGCGGCGAAACTGTGTGTCAGACGATGGGCTGGCTATTAGCGACCAGGCTTACGAAATCTAGCAATTGCCGCAATGACCACAGAGTACGGTCCATGTGGTGACCCTCGCTAATCATAGCTCAAATTTGGAACCTTAGAGTTAGGAGCCGTCCATTGGGATCTGCAAGTTTGCGCCTTCAGATCGTGCACTTGTGGATAGAAAAGCCACCGCTGGATGAGAGAACCCATCTGCGAGTTTCAAGGTTTGGAAACCGATCTTATCTGTGAGCGGTGCGTGTATTTTGTCAACGAGTAACTAGATTCTTACTGCGTATTTCTAGTCTTGGTTTTGCGTACATCCCCACTGTGGTTGGTATATTCTTCGTAGAAGAAGAATGGGAAAGTGAGTAGTAGTAACAACGGAGCTCCAATTCAGTGATCAATGGCATGACGTACCAGAGGTAACTATAATTGCTGGTTCTGTTTCCAGTACCTGAGAACAAAATCGGCGAATTGAATTGGCTCAACCAAAAGAGCAGCCCATGAGGCAATCTCACCATCTATATTTGGGTGCATGCTCAACCCTCAATTGCCTTTTGAAAAGTATGAGCAGCACTCTGTGGCAGTATTCCTAGCTCTTATTTCGGCTCTAAGGTCACCAGATCCAGTTTCTGCAGCTGACCAGAGATAACGGTCTATGAGGTAACTCACACTAGCGAGATTAAGCTCCAATTTGGAATGTGTAACTTGCAGACCAGACGTGCCGGAATACACTAAGGATTAAGTTTTCACCATCACTTCTCAACACCAGGGTATTTTGATGCTCGAGCCTTCTGAGCCTAAGAAATCCAACTACTAAAAATCGTTATCACTTCTAAAAGTCTTCAAAAAATGAATACTAAGGAATAGAAATTGGTTTTCATATCAAGAAGATATGAATATAAATTAAATAAATAAATAAAACCTTGCGAGTGTTGTCACAGGTGTTAATATTTCCCCAGGTACGAAGTAGTTCGTGGATAACGTGCACTGCACGTCACATGCACGCCTCCGCCCAGTGACAATTTAGGTTTCCGGCAATTCAATGCTCCAAGTACTTCGTACTCGCATAACCAAAAGCACATCCTGCAAAACCTTCATGCCACCGTGAACTTGATGGAAACCAATGAGTCCTCCTACTGTAACAGTCGTCGCGGCAATTGAGAGATCGACATCATTCAAAACCGATCTATACTCGAGGTTCTAGCACACAACTCCACATCATGAGCCCAAAATAATTACATGAACTCAATCCACAACTCCATGTACACGCAATTGAAAGCAAAAAGACCATGCATGTCCAGAGTCGAGAACCATCCGGCATCAACTGTCTACAGAAACGCATGAAAATAGAAAATTCGTCTCTCAGCAGCTCACTCTCATGTCAAGAGATGTGAAGCTACATACAGCAATCATAGCATTCAGACAAAGGCTCGAAACAACAACTGCAACATGGTGATTTGTAAGTGAGAGCGAGCATTACGCGTGAATAGTGTAACACTAACCATGTCTCTTTATAAAAGAATTGTAATGTAATTGCTTCTTCAAGCATGTAAACTGCAAGAGTCAGAAGCTCTGTCGCGGCAGCTGCTAAATTACGATGTGGTCTAAACTCTGGAACAAGCTACTCAATCAAAAAACTTTGACAACCGTGGCCTAGACGAGCAAAAATTGTCCACGGCCTTGTCGGCTGGCTGATCATCAGAGGAAGGGGGGAAATTCAAGTCCAACAAAAAAGGGGGACTTTCTCGCGCAGCAGGATTAGTCTTTTGTAGCAATGCAGCTACAATCTCTGGACTCTCTGAATTGAGAATCACAGAGGAGGAGGAGTCGCAGTCACTGGAGCAAGCTCTCGCCTCAGGCGTTGTGGCAGATCCAGGTGCTAGCAAGGTCGGTTGAAAGCCCATGACGAGGGCTGCATTATGGTCTCTACGACCGTCCATCGACCATTGAGATGGCGAAACCTCGAGGACAGGCACGGAATGAGTTAGGGGTTTCTTGACACTTTTGGATGCAATCCCCATGGCATCCTGAAAGAGGGTTTGGACGGGCGTAGAGGAAGGGCGCTTGCCAGAGTACGCAAGCTCGATACCTCCACCAGGTGAAACATAGGAACGACCGGCACTAATGCTCTCGTTTAGAACCTGAGCCATCTCTTGAACCTGGTAATGGTGATCTTGTGACGCCATGGCCGAAAGGTTGAGGTCAAGGCGGGTGCGCCATGAGTCTGCTTCCGAGGCAGCAGTGGGTCTTAGGAGTTGGTGGTGAGAGGTATGGGGATTTTTTAAGGGTTGCTGGTGTTGATGATGAGGAAGGTAAGCATTATGGGCGCTCGGGGGCGTAGACCATGACTCCACGGTGGAGCTCTGGCTCGTGCTCTGGTCGTCGCTGGAGGGAGGACATGAGAAGTTGGTCTTTGCTTTCGAGCCCCGCAATGCCCTTGCAGCACTATCGTAGGCTCTTGCAGCTTCCTCTGCGGTGTCGAATGTCCCTAACCAGACGCGGGTCTTCTTCCATGGATCACGGATCTCAGCTGCAAACCGACCCCAGGGCCGTTTCCTCACGCCTCTGAAGTGAACCCCCTGGTCTGCTTGGCTCCCTTTCGTGAAGGCCTTCTCTTCCCTCGAAGCCATTTGGCCAAAAGTCCTCTTCTTCTCCACTCTTCTCTCTCTTCTCTATCTCCCTTTGACTCTCTCGCACTCGCTCTCGCGCCTGGTCCTCCTATTCGCAAGCTCTCCACAAAGTCGGGATGTGGTTGACCAGTGCTCACACCAAACCGCGTGCTGTTCAATACGAAATCGAGTCGATAGTATTGTCTTCAATACATACTTAAGGGATAGACACAGCGATGTCCAGAAATTAGTCGACAAATATTTCGAGTACGCACAAAACTACGCGGCATTAAACCCAGAAACTCCTTTATGTACAGAGATACAAGAGACTTTCTATGCTGAGCGTCTCGTCACTGCCCCGAACCGGCACTTCGTTCCCACACCAACCTACAACTCTCTTCTTGCCCCCGGGTGTTGCTGCTGCTGCTGTAAGGATACCTTGTCTTACTGGAACTCACACCGGCGCATCGACCCACGGCACTAGTCCACTATGGAGCAGCACACAAACAAATCGCAATCCCCTCTCCCTCTAACTCTCTCTCCTCAAGCTTCGAGTCTACCATCAATCACTTTGCGGATTCCAGACTCGTAACCTGTGTCACTCCTCAAGTGATCACCGCCCACATATAAAGCACGACGCCAGCTATCAACTGGGCCGACTATATTTCATCAACCGAGGAACCCGAGCCGACGGAGCGGCCACCAAATCATGGCTGGCTGGCTGGCTGGCAGGCTATGGCGATGGGGGGCATGAAGCTAGAGCGATGAGGTCCCGCGACTGGCGAGAGTCAAGACGCAAGAGGACGACGGAGCAATCAACACGGGAACCCGTGCCTGCGTCGGCCAGGACCCGGTCCGGGCCAAAGTTTTACCATAAATCCACACCTTACTCATCATCGGGATTCGTCGTGGAATGGCTGCCAGCCCCCCTACGGATGGGCATTCGTCGACGGGTTGAGTCGTCGTCCGTCCACGCCGTCGGTTCGCTGCGCCGCAAGCATTCACCCGGGCATTTTACGCGGGCTCTGCGGCATTGAGGGCGTTGGCACTGCCATCGCCTGCCACCCTGCCGGCCATCGTACCTTCCCCCGTTTGCTACAACCACAGAAGAAGTTACAGGCGTTTTCATCCACTGCAATCCTCGCCGCGGTGGACAGGTAAGTTACCTATTCGTTAGGCGTTGGAGTTACGGCGCAGAGGCACTGAGAGGCGATGTTGACGCTGCGGGTGACATCAGTTCCGTGCAAGGCAATTACCAGGTCACTGTAGCCCGCACTCGCTTCATAAGCTTTATCCTGTTTACACTCCACCCTGCCTGCCTGCCGCCCCTCTTCATCTTGTCTGCTGCGGTGCTCACTTGCTCTTTTATTTTGCATGCACGAAATCATTCGTCTCGGTTGGATCATGACCAACAAAAGTGCCTCTCTTTAAATCCTCCCTTCCCCTTTTTCTTTTTATTACTCACATTTCACCTCCCTCGTCTCCCTCCTTCAGGTCAAAAATATAATAAAAATAAACAAATCCCTCCTGGCAACGTTCGTTTATCATCTCGAACGTTCACGAAACGGACACCACCCTCTAGCACGATCCCTGAATTGTGAGATTACTCTCCATCTCTCTCTCTCTCGCCCCGGGAAGCATCACGCTGAATCACCTACCCAATTTCATGCTGAGTTGGACCGTGAAGTGGGAGAATGTTGCACAGTAAAGAAAATCACTTGTTTAGCCCCTCGGTGCAGCTAAATTCCGCCGCTGACAGTGCAGGCGTGTGTGGGGAATTGTCGATCAGGGGCAACCTCTTTTAACGAACATTGCTCTCTAAACAAAGGATCGACGCCGCCTCTGACTGCAATTAGCCCCTCCTCCATCGGGACTCAATCTGCGGGCTGTTGGTGTTAATTTTGGGTGTGCTTTGGGAAGCCCATCACCCCCGCCCCCTTTCCTATCTTCTGTCTGCTTGAGTCTTTCCTGCCTTGTCTGTCTTCTATCTACAGCTTTGCTGCAGAATCGCCTGAACCCACACCCCCTTCCCTTCCATTTCAAGTTACTCCCATTTTGCTTCTGGTGCGTGCAAGGCAAGAGCGAGCCTGTTCCCACACCCATCTCCCCCTTAGTACTCTCACTCACACAATTTGGAGGGGAGCCCATTTTCCAACCCCTATTGCAAATAGCTCACATGAATGCTATAAAAACCTCCCCTTTGGAGAGGCGTTTTAGGGTTTCATTTTTATATGTGAGTTTTTTGCCAGTTTGCTGTGGGACTAAGCAAGCCCCCCCCCCCTTGAAAGGCTACACAGATTGCATCACATGGTCGGCAAGGGGTTTGAATTGGTTTTGTCTGGTTGTATTGAATTGAAGGGGGGTCTTTTGGTGGGAAGAAATTGGTAGGGGAAACCTTGTTAAGGGAAAGAGCCAATTTTATGACCCTTGTCCATTCCCCTGCTGTGTACATTTATTTATTTATTTATATGTTTGATTGAAAAACTGTAAGTAGACGCACTCACTCTCTGTTTCACTTGATTTTGCCCTATGCTATGATTAACAACATGCTAGAAGTGCAGAGCTTAATGATTAATACTGGAGTGGGAGAAGTATAGAAGTGGAGTGCAATGCATCTGATTAGATGCATGGGAAGAAGGCACACCATCAAAGCCTTGCCCACTGAGCTCATAACGTTATTCATTTATTATTATTCTGTTTTGCTTATTTTTGACTTTGTGGGTGTGGAATTATGGCAAAGGGGACAATGCCAGCAAGGAGATGGCATGAACTGAAGCAAGGAGGCTCTATTGGGTATTTTGGGTGTTTGTTTTGGTAATCACAATTTAATGGGGCCTCTTATTGTACAAAACTGCCCCAAGGTATATTGAGGAGTTAATGAAGATCTTCCCCAGGAGTCATGGACTTGTTTCAATTGGTTTGCTGATCAATTTCTGCCTTTTTCCCACATGCTTTAGTTTTAAAGCACAGGCCTTATCTTGGAATCGCCTAGATCCCCTTTGCTTTTATTTCAGACATCCAGCCCCCCCCCCTTTGTTGTTCTTGCATGACCCATCTTTCTATATATTTAAAAAAATTACTTTTGTGAGTGATTGCAGGGTCATCATCATCGGTTTTTTTAATGCCCACACTACTCTTTTTACTTGTTTCCTAAACTCAGTTTCCATAATTAGAACGGGTGTGGCTTAAAAAATAAGATGCCATAGAGGAGGACAGTTCTACTTAGAATTTCCATCTCTTTCTCATCAACTCCTAGACGATAGACCTTGTAGAAATGATAGACCTTGGAGAATAATTGATCCACTTACTGTAAATATACATACATATAGTTTAGAATAAATAAATGAACAAATAATTCAGCAAACGTTTTGAATATTAGTTTTTGTGAGCATAAAGAGAGAGAGGTCCTCCTCACCATTGTTAGACTTTTATTAGTTTGATTTCGTTGTTATTTTTGTCTTCTGGCCCATTTGATTGGGCTCATGATTAGATTGATTAACCCTCAAAGTTAACATGGCAACAAACATTACTTGTACAGCATTTTAATTGAGTGGAGTAAGTAGATGGAAACAAGAGAGAGAGATAGAGAGAGAAATAGAGAGAATAAAAAACAAATAAAGTGCAATAAAAACATGTTTGTCAGCATACTAATCAACTGATCACACACCAACCAAAAAAATTTCCCATAAGACAAGAGCTCCGCCAACAGGGCAATCTTTTTTTATTAATATGTTTACATGAGAGTGCATAAACCCACATGATATGGAATGAGCAGATTAGAACCATGGAGGGAGGGATTTTGATTTTGGACAAGTGCCCTGCTTTTCTCTGGCTTTTTTCACGAGATGACAGCTTTTTTAAGCTCGCAGCCTTTTTGTTAACCGCCCAATATGGAGTCCATAGCTCATGAAATCCAGCTGCAGCGAGATTCGGGGGGTGGAGAGGAGGGGAGTGCATCTCAGCCCAACCAGGAAAAAGGAGTAAAATAAACTATATTGCCTCTACAGACCTAACAGACCATGTGATTATCGAAGTATGGAACTCTACTCCACTGATGCCCACTGCTCCCTCCCACCCCAACTGCCCGCTGCCCTCAACTGCTCTACTGTCCTGCCCGTAAGCAAAGCTTCTGCAGCTTTGTGTGGAATAACTGGACTGTCTCAAAGGCTGGCTGCCGAAAGCTTTTCTCCTCCCTCTCCCTCTCTACTCTCATTCTTTATTTAGTCCCCCTATTTTTGCTATAAAAAACGTTCAAAGTTGGTGGGGTGGTCAGCAGGCAGGGCAGTTAAAGCTGCTCGGATCCTGCTACAAGAGCGGCTGCAGAGGGTCCCACGCTGTTTCGGCATATGCTACGGCCATCTCTTGACTGCTTCCCATTTTCAGTGATTACATCCAGTTTTTTCATGTAACAGGTTCATTCATGGATGAGCTAAGGTTAAGTTTTAGTATTTTTTTTCTTCTACAGAAGTGTTTGGGTTTCCTCCTCTCAGATAGGCAAATGAGGAAACCCAAACAATGAGAATGTGATGTAAAGTGGGGCTTTGAGCAGGCTACAGTTAATAGTTTTTTTTATGCCATGCAACATACTATTTTCATAACTTGTATTCAGCAGAAAATTAGCCATTGAAACTAATCAAACTAAATGTGTAGAATTCTATTCATATGATGTCTAAAATATGTTCAGCATTTGGATATCCATTGATATAAAGGAGATGGTACTTAATATGAGACCATGATCAGGAAGTTAAAATGATGAACCACAATTACGGAGTTTTGTTTATTTTACTGATAAATGTTACTTCATTATAACAGCTGAGGGTAGTAGCACCATCTGAGCATTGTCAGTAGCAATGAAACCCCATGAACAGTATGAAAAGGGATGGGGAGAGGGCTGACATGCCCAATTCATGGCCAACAACAGTATAGTATTGCTGCTGCTGCAGCCAAACACATCCTGTGGAGGGGCTCCCAATTTCCAACAGTGTACAGAATGGGTGAACTTCTCCCACAGAGCTGGCACTGCCAAAGCTCCAGATGGTAGGAAGCTCAGGTGGGGGATGGCCTTTTGACAAGTCTAGGGGAGTGGGGGATGGCCTTTTGACAAGTCTAGGGGAGTGGGGTTGTGGCAACCAATGTTCTCTCATGGAACTTGCTTGGAATAGAGAGGCAGCAGGGCAGCAGCATATGGGCATGCCATGCTCGTGCCCCCAGTTACCCACAGCAGCAACAGCAACAGCAACAGTAGTCACCGCATAAGATGAAGAAGGAAGAAGAAGAAGTAGCCATATTTTCTCAAGCTCAAGGCCACACTCCTCCTCCTCCTCATGGGTAGTGGAGGTTGAGCCTTGGAGTATGTTTGAAACAGTGGAGGCCACACTTTCTCCTCCTCCACTGTGAAGAGTCTCTCACTAACTTACCCATGTCTTGGGGGGAGGGGGGGTTGCAGTGGTTGCTGTGTAATTCAGCATTGGGTATGGTTGCTGCTTGGGCATTGGCATCCACCTAAAAAAGATGGTATGGACCCACAACATTTCTATCACACTATGGTGGTATCTTGCTATTTCCAAATGCAATGCCCTATCATGTAGGCACCACATCTACTAAGTTGGGAATTGATTCAGTTATTTTACTTTCACCATATCAACATGCTGATATGAACTGAAAAACATGGGTGACAATTTCCTCCTGATTAAATACTTCATTTTTATTATAAAAGGAACTATTAGTTTCAGAATAAAGAAATGAACTCTAATTCCTTGACCCACTCTA